CTCCCGCCTGGACTACTGCAACTCACTACTTGCCGGAGCCCCGGCGTTGGCCATCAGACCTCTGGAGCTGGTCCAGAAAGCTGCAGCTCGCCTGGTGTTCAATCGCCCCAAGTTCTCCCACACAACTTCCCTTCTCCGTTCTCTACACTGGCTACCTGTAAGAGCTCACATCCAGTTTAAGACTCTGTTGCTAGCCTACAGGGCAGTGAAACGAACAGCTCCTTCCTATCTCCAGGCCATGGTCAAGCCCTACCCCCCTGCCCGACCACTTCGCTCTGCTGCCTCGGGGCGATCGGTTGCCCCGTCGCTCAGAGGTCCCTGCGGCTGATCGACCCGGTCGCGGCTGTTTTCTGTCCTGGCCCCACAGTGGTGGAATGAACTCCCCACTGACGTCAGGACAGCGGAGTTGCTGCCCATCTTTCATCAGGCTGAAGACTCACCTCTTCAAGAAGTACTACCCTTAGCCTTCCACGTAGCACTTACTTAGCATATATTGTATTCATACTAGCTTATTGCACTTATTGTTTTCTTATTAGTTTGTGGCACTGATTGCATTCGTTTGTTTCTGCACTGTACGTTGGCTCTGGTTTATGCTCTTACATGCTTGTTTGAAGAAAGGAGATGCACTTATGACTTCTGGGGACTAGTTCTCTCGAAAACCGAAGTTGAATACACTTATTGTAAGTCGCTTTGGATAAAAGCGTGTGCTAAATGACTGTAATGTAACCTGACAGTGGTCACTCACACTGTTACTCAAAGTGAACACTGACACCTTAGTGTCCACTTTGAGTGTCCAGTGTTCAGCCCCAGTGACAAAACACTTTATCATCATCCCTGTTTCTATAGAAAGATAAATTAACCCTAACTCAAGAGCTGAATAAAGGTTTTAATGTTTACTTCACAGTTTGATTCATGCCACCACCTGCTGGTCAACATACATTACTGCAGGTGATCAATACGTGATGTGAACCATGAACCTTCAGAGACTCACTGACATCACCTGGTAAATGTTTGAGAGACTCTCTAAACTTGAGTCTAAAAGGTTTGAATGGTGTGAATAGGAATGACTGTGCTGCAACATATATATAATCTCTGCTTTAATGTGTTGTTATGTTCCATCTTTAATCCTGAATGTGTCCAGACTGAACTCGCATGTTTAATCCTGTGTTTACTTTATGTCTCCATTCTTCCTCTGGTAACACCATGTTTAACGTCACATTGCTATGAATTGTGGGTAATTCCCTTCGGCAAAGTCTGCAGAAATACGAATTTATGGAAAGATAAAAGACTCAAAATGTCTGAGAGACTCAACAGAACTAAACTCAGTGTCCACGAGAGAGGAGGGTGTGTGTGTGTGTGTGTGTGTGTGTGCATGAGTGTGTGTGAGAGCGTGTGTATGTGTGCGTCTCTGCTCTTCATACTAAGCTCGAACACGTTTTAACTGAATAAAGAACTAAAATAAACTTCCTGTTGAAGGTGATCCGGTTCATGTTAGACCTGGTCCTCTGAGTCCAGTACAAAGATTACAGACCACCAACTAACTGCAGAGTGTCAGGAGGATCTGATTCTGGTCTGGTCTGGTCTGGTTCTGTTCTGGTTCTGGACTCACCTGAGCAGCAGCAGGTGCGAGGAGGACCACAGCGGACCTCAGAGACCTCCTGATCTTCAACATGTTGAAAGTAAGACAGAGCGCGAGCTCACAGGAAGTTTATGTGAGTGACAGAGATCCTCTGTGGTCGCGAGGTCTCACTCCTCACGGGGAATGTGTGACGTAACCGTGACGACTGACCACGCCCCTTCTATTTATTTTAGACCTTCTCTATATATATTCACAGTATAGTACCTCGTAAAAAAGTCATAGTATAGAAGGCTGCCTCGGTGTGTTGGTGCTCATTGCTTTGTGTTGTTTTTGTCGTTGTTTTTGTCGTTTTGTCGTTAACTGTGATACTCTGAGCTCTTTCACCAGAGATGAGCTCATAAACATCAGAGTAACAACTCCAGCGGACTTACTTCCAACTTTTCTGTTAACTTCTTTAGAATTACTGGACGTTCTCGTCAAAGGTGCTCTCACCGCAACTCATGCAGTGAAGCGCCGTAGGAGAGGGAAACGGGCTGGCGTGCTCGTGCGTCTCCACACGTGGATTTCGCACACCGCTGCCGGGCATATTTCTCTCCAACGTCCGCTCACTTCGTCATCCTCCGTTTTGTGCTTCACTGAGACCTGGCTCTGTGGATCGATACCGGACTCCGCGCTCCAGCTGTTCAGAGCGGATCGCGACACGGAGCTTCACGTGCTGCGACAGGAAGCAGCACGTGAAGCTGGGAAAACACGTCTCAGCCTCCAGGACCATCAGCGGTGGAGTCCTTCCGCTTCCTGGGCTCCATCATAACCCAGGACCTCAAGTGGGAGCTGAACATCAGCTCCATCACTAAGAAGGCTCAGCAGAGGATGTACTTTCTGAGGCAGCTGAAGAAATTCAACCTGCCAAAGACAATGATGGTGCACTTCTACACTGCCATCATTCCTCTGCTCCTCCATCACTGTCTGGTACGCTGCAGCCACTGCCAAGGAGAAGGGCAGACTGCAGCGCATCATTCACTCTGCTGAGAGGGTGATTGGCTGCAATCTGCCCTCCCTCCAGGACTTGTTCACTTCAAGGACCCTGAAGCGAGCAAGAAGGATTGTAGCCGACCCCTCTCACCCTGGACATGAACTGTTTGTGCCCCTTCCATCTGGCAGGAGGCTGAGGTCCATCAGGACCAAGACCTCCATCAGGACCAAGACCTCACGACACATGAACAGTTTCTTCCCGTCGGCAGTCGGGCTCATTAACAGAGCCCGGGTCCCCACTGACTCTGTCATCCCCAGGACAACCTCCTACCGGTCCCTCCCCTTCACATCCCTTCTTAGGTTCTTATTTAAATACACTCAACACTTTTACACTACACTTACATCTCACTTGTTTATAGTCCTGTTATCTGTTCGTTTGTGCACTTTATTCTATATTTCACTTTATTTTATATCTTTCTGTACATTTTAATATGTTTCTACTTTGCACTGTTGATTGTTGTTGATTGTTAAATGTTTGCACCTCCCGTCTTGTCAAATTCCTTGTATGTTCAACCACGACAATAAATGGTTCTGGTTCTGATTCTGATTCTGGAAAAAAAAGTCATAGTATAGTATGTCGAAAAAACACACATACACACACACGCTCACAAAATACGCACACACACACACACGCACAGTGTTTTGGTTCCTGAAGCAGCAGCAGAGTGAGCCCTCCGTCGTCATCAGCAGACGTCACAATAATTCTGTTTTTTAAAATTTGTATTAATTGATCTCGTGTTGCGTCATCACGTGATTATCGATCCTTTAAATATCTATGAGAGAAATATTTGGTTTAGTTTTCAAAATAAAACATTTAATAGTTTATATTTTTGAACGGAACATAAACAAACGACGCGTTTTACGTCACGTCCGTTCAGGAAGTGGAGCACCAGCATCAGGAGAGTCTCGTGCGTTCATAGCTCCAACGTGAGCGAGGTGTGTTCGTTTGCGGTCGGAGGAGTGAAACATGTGGAAGGCAGTCCAGCTGACGGTCCGCCGGGCGGGGAGGAGCGGGGTTTGTGTTCCTCCACGCTGCGTCCCCGCTCTGTCCTGTCGGTCAGTGCCTGGCTCATGGGCCGTGGCAGGTCGGGATGTGACCCGGATGTTCTGCAGCGGAGCCGAGAGGAGGATCTGTATGGTGGACCTGGACCTGGAGGAGGTGTTTGTGTTTGTGGAGTGTTCAGGTGAGACTGAGGACAGGTACTAGTACTACAAGTACTGAGAAGTACTACGAGTAACAAGAGGTAGTACAAGTACTGAGAAGTACTACGAGTAGCCTGTGGTTCTGATTCTTCTTTTTCTCTCCTGGTGGGTTCAGATCCGGAGGAGGACAAAGACGTCCATCAGCTGAGCCTCTCCTCTGATCCTCCTCCTCCGGTTCCTCCTCAGAGACACCTGAGGTCTTTGGAGCTTCAGCTGCAGGTGTTGAGGGGCGTGGCCCAGCAGGAGGCGGAGTCTGACTCTCTGATCCAGTTCCAAGACGTGGACTTCCCGCTGGACAAGAGTGTTGTGTCATCGAAGAAGAAGAAGAAGAAGATGATGACGGCAAGTAAAGGTGAGCAGAAGGTGTTCGGTACCCCGGACCTGGAGGAGCCGGTGAGTGACACCTGCTGCTCTGGCTGCGGCGCCGTCCTTCACTGCACTGCCGCCGCCGTGCCCGGATACCTGCCAAGTGAGAAGTTCAAGGTGCTGCTGCAGGAGGAGCAGCTGAGCGACGCCACCTGTCAGCGCTGCCACCTGCTGACCCACCACCACAAGGCCCTGAACCTAAACATGACCCCGGACCAGTACCGGGCCGTGGTGCTTCAGATCCGGCCCCACAGGGCTCTGGTGCTGCTGGTCGTGGACCTGATGGATGTCCCAGACTCCGTGGTCCCCGACCTGCCGGACCTGGTGGGGACCAACAAACACGTGGTCGTCCTCGGAAACAAGATTGACCTGCTGCCCGGAGACTCGCCCGACTACCTGCGGCGGATCAGGAGGCAGCTCTCCGCGTACTGTCGGGACGCCGGCTTCGGGGATCAGGTGACCGACGTGCACCTGATCAGCGCCAAGACTGGGTACGGCGTGGAGGGTCTGGTGTCCAGCCTGCAGAGGTCCTGGAGGTACAAAGGTGACGTCTACCTGGTGGGCAGCGCCAACGCCGGCAAGTCCACGCTCTTCAACACGCTGCTGGAGTCAGACTACTGCAAGTCCAGAGCCTCAGACCTGGTCCACAAGGCCACCATCTCTCCCTGGCCCGGTGAGCCAGACTCCATTCATATTTCTGTCGATTTAACGTGTTAGCGTTCATCATGTGTGTTGTCTCCTTCTCTCGTGGTGCGTTCAGGGACCACTCTCAACCTGCTTAAGTTCCCCATTATCAACCCGACTCCACACAGGATGTTCAGACGGGAGGAGAGACTGAAGGAGGCGGAGAGACAGACGGAGACAGAGCTGTCTCCGCAGGAGATGAAGCGACTGAGACACTTCAGCAGACAAGGATACCTAGTGGGTAAGACAGAGGGTGAGACAGGTTGGGGAGACAGGAGTCTACCTGTCTACCTGTCCACCTGTCCACCTGTCTACATGTTCACCTGTCTACCTGTCCAGGTCGTGTTGGCAGAACCTTCCGGTCTCACATCAGATCCAGACCCGATGAGATCCAGTTCGATCCCGACAGTTTGGCTTTTGGAGAAAACGATGACGGAGAGATGAAGAGCTTGACAGGTGAGGACGCTGAGAGAGAAGTCTGATTGGATGAACGATCTCTGATGTCATCAGTGTAGTGATGTCATCAGTGTACTGACCTGTGTGTGATGTTTCAGCTCCCAGCGGGTCAGCTGACAAGTTCTCATTCAACGAGCTGAAAGACGCTCACTGGCTGTTTGACACGCCGGGACTCCTGAAGGAGCACGACGTGAGTACACATATACAT